GGAGGGGGAGGCGGGGGGTGGTGGGGAAGCAGAGAACGAGGAGGACATCGACGAGCTGCCGACTTCGCTGGATGAGCTCCTTAAGGAAGCTGCGTTTCCCACGTTTGTGTCGCCTCCCGTCTTGTGTTGAAAACCTGGGCTTCCGTGGCTCGATTTGGCTGATGGAGTTCTGGTCGCGTAACGCGTGAATTGTCTGTTAAGAATTGTAATACTTGTAAGTGGGGTGGGGTGGGGTGGGGTGGGGGGGGCAGTGAGAGATGTGTCCCCAGCATCTCCCTCCGCACCGTGTTAGATGTACATTAGGACCCCTGTGACTTGTCGAGTGCCCTTTGTCGTTCAGGCGTGTGAACTGTTATCCTCGCTTTTGTGCTCCCATTGATACAGAGTCGTCGAAAACGATTTTCTGAGGTTGCTCGGTAGTGTGTTCTCATTTTGGGTACAACACCGGCACCAAACCATGCCGCGACATATCATACACACCATGTGCGATTTTTTTTGTCAGAACAATTGCCGCCGGATGTTGTAACTGACAAGATGACGAACGAAAGACGTCATGCAGTTGTTCTGAGAATTTCGTGTCCACCTATATATCCCGCATTTCGCACGGACGCCTATATCTTGAGGACCTAGGTAGTCGGCACAGCAGTTTCGTGATGTGTACTCGCTCTTGGTGTTCTCAAAAGTAAATTTACGAAGTACGTGTCAGTAGCTCGTGATCTCATTGGTGGACGTGCGTAAGTCCGTTCTGATCTATGTCTGATATATGAATGCAAGGCGGGCGGTGGTTGCTTTTTTTCTTGGAGTTGCAATTGCAACCTCTTGGCCGTTTTGGAATCGGTCGTTTTTTTCGTGGTTTTCGATAGCTCGTGGTACGCATACAAACGATTTAGGAGACGCGAAGGCACACGACGCATCGCCACCCTCCTTGTAGGAAAATCAACCCCAAAGCTGGCACGGACGGGTCGGTCTTACGTTCACCCATTACCCGCTGGAAGACGGCTTGTCTTCTTGCCGTGATGCTCTTGCCACGCACCAATGAAAACGTGTTTTCTAGACTACGTTGTCGTGTAGTACGATAATTCCGTGTCGTGCACATGCTATTATGTCGAGGAGGGGGGGGGAGGGGTCGTGTTGTTTTGTGTTCTGCTCGGTTATGGTGCGGGTTGTGGAGAGCATGTCTGCCTACACAGCTACATGTGTACCTTTCACGCGCAAAGGGTTGGTTGATATTGATAGCCGCCACCACTTCTCAGTCTTGTTGCGATTGGTTTTACGTTGGTGAAGGTGATGCTGCCGTTGCTGCAGTTTTCGCGGTGTTGTGTTTGCGGTGACGCACGTCTATCTCTGCTTCTCCTCTTGGCCTGTGTGCCTGCGTGTACCATGAAGGTATTTCGCATTTGCTTCTTCCCTCCCTCCCGTGGTTTCTTGTTCCTTTTTTGCTGTGTGCTGTCGCTCCGGCTGGAGAAACCGGACTTACTGTTTTGTGTAAACCCACCGCAAAATGCGTTGCGCAAAATGCTCAAGGAGGTTCTTTTTTGACGGGGTAAATTGACGAATATGTGCCCTCGGAACCCTGATAGAGTTTTGTTTTGAGACAGAAGAGGAGACCTTGTCGCGCGAGGGTGCGGGATGTACTACTGGTACTGCCGTCGTACGTGGTTTATAATGTCCTTGGTTCCTCTGCGATGAACACGGGGTCGGTCGGGGATTTGTGATTTGAAACTGCTGTATGCATACGTAAAGAGACATAGAGAGGGGCAGAGAGAACGAAAGGTATGCATACATGCGTAGCTCCATTAACAAATAAATGAAGCCCACACGCCGTAGGAGGGCTGGGTGGTCGAGTCTCGCCAAGTATGCCGACGGAAGCCCTCCCCCCCCCCGACGTGTTTTCAAGTAACGGGATCCGGTAGTGCGTGTAGTGCGCTGCGCTGTGTCCAGAGACAGATTCGCAGAGACGGCGGATGGTGACGCACCTACCTACACTTCTCCCATCCCACGAGAAACTCTATCGAAGCTATCCCTACATAGAACATCGACCGAAGTAAAAAAACTTGATCTTTGAGAGGAAAACAGAGATCGCCAACCCTGTACGAATTGCGGAAATGCGGCCCAGCTGGGGTACAACAAGTGGGGTCAATCGTGGAGCTGATTGTTTTATCCGCAACAAACTGAATCCCTTGAGGGGCTTAAAAGAAAAGAGCAACACAAAAAACATGAAACATCGCTGGTACTCATGTGCGGAGGTATTCGGTTGACTTTGCTACCGCAGCGTCCAACAACCCAACGTTCAGTTCTTCGTGCGGCAACAAATTACACTAGGTCTTCGATCTTTCGCTTAAGTGCGTGCGATGCAATGGTCGTTCGCCACACGTCGTTCTTTCCACCGAAGAGCTGAACAGGATTCACCTCGCACAGGCTGCAGACTGCAATCAGACTACAAGTGGTCCTCCGACTTTGCACAATGGAGACCTTTTCTTAACCTACCAGAGGTCCTCCGACTTTGCACAATATGCGGACCTTTTCTTAAACAACCCGCAACAAAACGTTCAGTTTCTTAACTCGCAACAAAATCTTGTTTTTTCTTCTTCGTGTGCTGTACAACCTTGAGTTCTTCTCACGTTTCCCGTCCTCGTCGAAAACTCCCACAACAAGAGGGAGGGGGGGTCGACAGCCGACCCAAAGACAAACAAACGCAAACTCGCGGCAAGATGACCTCAAAAACAGCAGAGTCCTGACTCATCGGGTAATCCCCGTGGCGGGGGTGGAAGACGAAACAATGGTCGCGCCAGCGTGCACGAGTGGGGGTTTCCCTTAAGGATCAACCGTCGATCGTTGCAGCAGACAACGGTAGAGCGGTGTACGGACTACAGTAGACGAAGACGCTGTTCGTAGGTCATGCTTCCTCGTTTCGTGACCCGTGAAGTACCCGAACATAAACAAAAAAAAACAGCACCCAACAAAAAAAAGCAAAAAAAAACGTCACATAGAATCTTCCGCCAAAAGTGAGACTGGGTATGGCAGGCACCGCAGCAGCAGCGCTTCTCAAACCCAGATCTGGCTTCAGCTCGCACACACACGATAAAATAAAGAAGAAATACTGACCACAAAAAGTTAAAAAAACACACCCGAAAACCCAACAACATATCAAAATCTTCCTTGGACGCCTTCCCAGCACCACATACAGTCAGATGAAAGATGGCCACCTGACTGCCGTTTTTTTGTAGACCCAAAGGGGAGATATCACCGTATGCTGTTCGAGGAATCGTAGAAACACAGCTATGAATCCATTGCTAATTTATCCTGGACTCGTATTCTGCTGATAGAGATGGATTCCTTGTGAAATTGTACAATTAGAAAAAAAAAAAAGAAACTGCAGCAGTCTCTAGCCTAGTACACCCCAAAGAACTCTGAGATCCTCAGAGCAAAAAAAAACGAAAAACATTTTCTAGAGGGCCTTAGGTAGTACAGCCGTAATAACACAAAGAAAAATTGCAAGAAAAAACAGACGTAAAACATGGGACTACACTAGCACAAGCCGACAAACAACAAAGCTTTACAGATCAAACATCAACTAGCTATGCACAAACAGCAGTCGTCCCGAGAGAGTAAAGGAATCTTCCACCAGTCAGCCGGTATAACCGCCGCCGCCGCCGCCGCCGCCGGTGAGGTATCTGTTCGAACCAGGCGCCTGCTCGCCGTATCCATCCTCCACGTCAGCACCGCTAAACCCCGTGCTCTCGTCACCACCGTACTCCTTGCCGGCCGGCGTTGTCGCGGTTGACGATGAGGACGAGCTCGGCTCCCCGGCTTTCCGCATGAGGTACAGCATGGCCACGCACGGGATCACGTGCAGCGCCCACTCCAACCTCATGTCCTGCTCCCTCCTACGAGCCGAGTGCAAAAATGCCATGTAAGCGAGGCAATTCACGCAAGGATACAGCAAGTTGTGTTACCTGCTTCTTGAACAAGTACCGTAAGAAAAATACCGTGCGCAGACGTGCGACCAATGAGATACACATACAAAGAATCACACAGCAGCGCATGAGGATTGTACGGCTCTACCCTTCGTATCAGACTTGTCTTCTTTGGAGTAGGACGACGAAAAAACTCCGAAGTACAACGTACTCGTACTCTTGTATGAGACATATCCTTAATCGACAGGGTTTCTGATTTAGCGGAGGCCCTTCGTCGGATGGAGAAGTAAAACAGCCGATGTGATCGCGCATGAGTTCCGCAACCTTCGGGGCGAGTTTCGACACACCCACTTCGACGGGCCCGAAAAGAAGCCAAGAAACACACACACGGATGCGTGGAAAGACAAGCACAGGCACGCAAGTCGGCGCAGCCGTACCGTGGGCAGCAACCTCTTTAACCCACACCAGTCCGGACTAAGCGCTGCGGAGGAAGCTCGCTGGCGGCGAGGGGTGCTCCCCTTTCGGGACAGCTCACTCAAAGGTGTTAAACAATCGAGGGAAGGCGGATAGTAAGATGGTACCGCAGCATAGCGTAAGCCCCCCGGCTGCAGCGATAAAGACTCTGTCGTTGATGATGGGAACTCGGGCCGCGGCTCGCAAAAGCAGGAGTCGTAGCAGCAGCAGCAAGCAACAACAACGGGACAACAATCAAACACCTTTTCCATCCGCTGGCGTAATTTCCGCTCTCCTCTCCTTCCGCCTGCGCCTGGATCAATCCAGCCAGCATCAGCGCCCTCATGGTGAAGCAGGTGAAGCACGCCAGCATAACCTGCCGCAGAAATAGTATCAACCATTGTTCCACCGTGGCGCGCGGGCTCGAATCCAGTAGCGCCATTCGTACGACCAAACCACCGATACGCGTGGCAGACAAAACACGCCCACGCACTTCTTGTCACCCCACTTGCCTACGATCAAAGGAGCGGGGCGCTCGGTCACGTCAATATGTCAACCAAAACACCCCAAGAAAAAAATGTTTGTGTGTCATCGTATGCGTGCTGCTGCAACGGAAACCCATGCTTTCGTGTGGATCGGTCTTGTGGGGTGTAGGACAACTACTTGCCTTGTAGGAGTACTCCGCAAAAGGGTCTGCCATTGTTGGCGTTCGAGACAAACAAGAACGGCAGCGATGTCGGAAAGGCAACGCGTACTTGCCACGCCCGGCCTCGTGCCGAGACTGGCCCCTCCCAACGCGGCAGCAACAGCAGCACCCACGCGCGCGAATTCCTCCGCTGACCAACATACATGCCCCCGAAAAATAAACCGCAGCATACCCCCCTCCTGACCCACCGCGTCTGGGCCGAAACGACCACAACCACCACCGGGCAGGCAAGCGCAACCCTTCACAGAGAACAGCGAGCATGGGCTTAACCAAAAAGCAAAAGGAGTGTGCGCACTGTACTCACGACGTTGAGGCGGACAATCCTAGCCGTGAGCCGTGCGGTACAGCTGCCGGTCACCAAGACCCGGCATATACGCTGCTGCAGCAGACACCCCAGCACCAAGAAGGACGCCCCCAGCAGGAGAAGGACCGCTATGCTGTGGTCGGCCAAAGACAACGGCAGAAAACAACGCATCATCGCGTGTGGCAATAGGGGGAGGGGGGGGGGTCAGGTTTGCCAGCGACGGGGTGAGCCAAACACAAAAAGGCCAACACGTGTAGAAAACTGCGGTCATGGTGAAATCATACCGCGCTACGGCGTGGAATGAAACGTATGGTTTATCCAGTGGAAAGTACAAACGGGGGGGGGGGGAGTAGGTCGATACTGGCAAGTTTGACACGCGCGCACATACATGCGTCCAGGTCATCGTCGGAGACCACCGGCTGAGAGAGATGAAGGCAGAAGGCTACGTTGTCTACCTCTCGCATGAAGGGGGGTATGGGGCAACAAGAGAAGAGGCCAAACATTATTTTTCGCCTAGTCTATGCATACAATACAGCAGTAAGCCGACGACCGGACTCACTGACCTGTAGGCGCAGAACAGGAGGAAGGCGAAGCTGGAGAGGAAGTACTTGACGTTCCCGACACCGAGGCACACGCTGACGGCGATGCCGGTCACCAGGACGTAGCACACGCAGAGGGCGACCATCGATCTGCGGGGATGTCGTGGTTGTTCGTGGTGGGTGGTGCGGTTCTGGAAAACTTGTCGGGCACCCCGGCTAAGCGGTTGAACAACGAAATAGCGCCAGGCTTATTTGCGGCGGGACAAAAAAAAAATTGAACACCGGGGTTACTGTTGTAGCATTGCTCTCGGCCTTAAGACCACTTAATGTAAGTTTTGGATTTGGAGGAGGTCCCCAAGCTCCGGCCTAAAAATGGTCCCCGCCCCTCCCTTTGCCTGTCGTGTCTTGCTGCCACTGCTGTCAGTCCTGGAGCCTGGCTGAGTCACCCAAACTTTAGTGTTTTCAGCAATGGGGGTAGAGCGGCCTATATAGCACACTAAGCAACTAATGCGCTCAATTTGTGCGTGAAATGTCGTCACTGGTATATAGGACATGAAGAATACCTGACGGATGGTGTTCCACGTACTGCTGTTACTTATGATAATATCGTATGTGTGGGTTTTGTTTTCTTTATTTATGTGAATGCCACCTCAGACTGTCGTAGATTGTCCTCTCCACCAGAGGTTGAACTGGGTGTGTATCCACACCACACATCCCAACGGGAACTTGCTCACACGCGAACCTGGAGAAAACCGTTTCATATTTATTGTTGTTAATATGTATGTCCCGCAAATGCGGCTTGCTTGGGCTCAAAACACCAAGACAAGCAAAATGAATGACAGAGAACACTACGAGGGAGATATCTCGTGGTATTTGTATGTACCTACTACAGTGATTTTGTGATTAGCACCGCTGGCATCACTGATCGAATTTTTTCAGTGTAAAGGCTTAAATAGACTCCAAATAAGCTCAGTACCCAGCCGGTTTCCCTCCATTCACTGTGAAGACTTCAACACATCCCGTTCGACTGCTGTGGTCTTATCTCGAATGGGTACAAGTCTTTCTGTGTATTTTGGTATGTTTCCTAAAATGAATGATCAGATATCAGGAGGGGGGCCAGGAGTGCGGGATAACTTTATTTGATGAACCCGTGGGCTGACCAACAAGAAACAATTGCGCGTTCTATTGAAATGATGGCTGACGTTGTTCTTGTTCTTGTTGTCGACGTCATAGTCGTCAAGGTGAACGAGAGATCTCCGACCTTGGCACCTAGATCGTGTTAGTTTTGCATCAGATGTCTTGGCACAAGTCCACGCACAAGCCGCTACACAGGCCGCTCTATGCATACAAGCAGTACAGGTGTAGAGCCAATACAACGTGCAATGGGGTTCCGAGATTTTAGATTCAGACTCCAGAACAGCCATATTGTAGCTCCGCCAGTTTCCTCAAGGACCGATGTATTAAGGACGATAACAGCACAAGGCAGTGTCCCCGGATCAAGCCAGGAGCGCAGCTATAATAACAGCGCGCAAGGTGAAGTATCAACCATGAGCGATACGGATACATTCGCACCAAACATGACCGACCGTCATTCTACACAGAACACCGCGGGATCGGGATACAACACACCGAAGAGTTCATCCAAGGCATGATCACCCCACACCTGTTCATGAGCGCGGTGCACTCGTTGGGCTCGAACACGGCGACGTCGTTCCACAGCGTGACTACGACAGAGAAGGCCATGAACAGCAGCAGGTAGCTGGTCATGTGCAGGGCGTACAGCGATCGATCGCCCTGGACCAAGCCCACGGCGATCCCGCTGGAAGACAGCCAGCGGCACGCGTAGACGGGCACCTCCACCGCCAGGCACAGGAACACCAGGACGTGGAACAGGAGGGAGGGCACGATGACGCGCGACGAGGCGACTCTGTCGGCGTCCGTCGCTTGCAGGTGCCGCCGTTCTTCTTCCTGGCCGAGGTTGCCGTTGGTAAAGCTCTGCTGCTGCTGCCGGTGGCGTCGGAAGATCCGGAGGACGGCGACCAGGCGCACCAGGGCCGCCGCGGACACGGCGCACACGGCTACCAGTCCCGCCAGCAGGGCCTGTTCTTCTCGCATTACGCTACGTGAGACTGAGACAGCCGCAATGGAGACGGCTGCAGAGCCGTGCTCGGCGCAGAGAGAGGTGCTGATGGTGGAAATCAAATGCGTGGAAATCAGGGTAGAGCGATGGGGACCCCGCCTATCATCGAGTTTTTCTGCGAAGTCCCCTTGATGCCGCCGCAAGGCCGCCGGCAACAACCGCAACCGACACATCCTGCTGTTGCATTGATTGATTGTCTGCTGGGCGAACACGCTGCTACTTGCGTTTCGTTTCGTGGAATGGGTGGCCGACGAGGGCTGTCAGTTAGGGGTTTCTGTCGCTATGCCCCTTGCGATCAGGTGCTAGAACTCAGATTGGGACGCCCTCTTTCAAAAGACGAAAGATACAGCGTACGCGACGCCGATGGAGAGGTGAGTTGTTACCAGATACTGCTGCGAGGGTTGTGTCTACTGCTGTACACCGCAGTATATGCAGTGTAGGTTTGTGTTCATAGTTTCAAATGCTTGCATCAAATAGATGTGATTGGGCAATAAAAGTGCACTGTAGTAGACTGTAAATAACGTAAACTGAGCCTCCGCAGTAAATGTCGTAAGCACACCATGCATGGATCGTACAATGCACAGCAGTGTATGCGTGGCATTTCGGAATTATCCTGTTGTTAATCAACAGACTCCTTTATTTGAATAATGCGAAATTCCCTGATCCTCGCCACGACCGCCAAAGCCGACCGCGCAACAGAAGTTGGAGGATTACAATTGCCCTTCAAATGCAGTATTTACAGCAGCAGTGGTGTGGGCCTGCTAGTAGTCTAGACTATATGCGTACAGTGTAGTTCCGACGTAAAAACTCTTCCAGCATCTCTACATCCTTCTTCATTTTGGTGATCCTCCCATTGGTCATTGCCAATAAGGCGTGAGACGCCCCTTCTAGCGATGGGTATACTACTGGACACATCAGCCTTGATGACCAACGCGCACGCCGGTAACGTTTCGAACAAAGACGAGGCGCCGTGTGGTACTCTCCTCACGCTTTGCCCCCCCCCCCCCCCCCTAAATACTTACCGCTTGCGGTCAATCAGCGTGCGTGAATCTTCATCGCGAAGACGACGACAGCACCCGCCAATAACCACCACAGCTACTACAACCTCGAAGACGTCAAGGTCAACACCGCGTCGGCGGCGGAGGCAGCCACGTCCCCCCACTCCAACCCCCACATCGGACGACGAAGCACAAGAGACACGCCCAACGATTGGGCGAGATGCCGCCGCCTACATGCGACAGGCGGACGCCGGGATAGGGACGAGACGTGTCTTGGAGTTCGCGCGCGGTGACGCTGCTCTGCGGGAGTCTGCGGCGGCGTTATCAGGGGGCACCGCCGAATCATGGATGAGCGGTAGCGGAGGCGGAGGCGACGAGGAAGGGTTGGGCCTTCTGCGGCAGCAGCTTTCAGCGGTGCAACGGATACGGATCGAGCACGAGCGGAAAGACGCGACGATTGCCGCGCTGAGGCTGGAGGCGAGTGCCGTGCGTGGCCTTTTTGTTGTAGCCCCCCCGGGGTTGGTCTCTGCTGGTCTCTGCGTCTTGCAGCTTTGGGAAAACTCTTCTTTCCAATGCGCTGTTGTATGTTCCGCCAACTCTCCGTTGCACTGCACTGTTGTATATTGCAACTCACAACTGTTCAATCCACAATGCGCTGTTGTATATGGGAGGTCTATCCATAACCTTATATCGTGTGAGTGGTGCAGGTGTTGGTTTAGATGTACCAGCCCGCGAGGCAATCAACAACTACCTCCCAGCAGCAGCAGGAAGTAGAGGCTTTCTCAGTCGTTTCCCCCGTTCCCGCAGGTATCCACCCTTAGCCGACAGAGGGAGGAAATGTTGGCCTTTGAACCGGGAGCGAAACGGGGAGTTGCTTCGGCTGGTGAGGATGGAGGAGACGGTTCGACGCCTAGAGGAAAGGAGAGCGGGTGAGAGGGGGGGGGGGGGGGGGGTACTCTAGTTTTGCATGCCTTAGCGGTTAGACCATGGATCTCGCATCCCTACACTGCCGGGGCGGAGCGATATGCCGGGTTTTCGCCGCCCCAGGCTATCACATCACAAGGATGAACCAGAGGCTGGCCATCATCCTTGGGGGGGGGGGGGTATGATCGGTCGTGGGTTAGGTTGGTGATGGCACTGTCGGTTCTTGCCCTTGCTGCTGTTGATGGCGATGGTTGGTGAACGTGGTTGGCAGTAGCAGTAGCAGAGGTTATTATTATAATTGTTGTTTTTCTCGCCCTTGCTTTCTGGTGGTGTGGGTGGTGATAATGGTTCTCTTCGTCGTCGACATTGCCATCGTTAGCCCTGTTTTTTTCCACCGCATTCCCGCCGTTGCTGTCGCCTTTGTGGAAATGACGTTCATATTTTGGCTTCCGTTGTCTGGTTCATGTACATCTTCGTCGCGGTGATTCCGGGGCAGGACACCGCGCGTCGCTGTACTCGCGAGGAAGAAGCCTGGAGGAAGCAGCTCCGGGACATGCAGGAGCAGTGCCGGGCGGAGAGAGATCGTGTGAGTTACACAGCGGCGTTCGTCTTTTCCCCTTCTGCGTAGAACCTAAAGAAGCAAGGCAACAACGCTTGGTGTGAACAGAGCAGGCCGCAACACGTGCTACGAAGAGGAAGCAGCTAGCACCAAGATTCAGATGGCTCTATCCACACGCATCACGGGCAAGCTTGAGGCACAAAACCTGCGGCTTGCAGGCACAAAACCTGCGGCCTTCAGGCACAAAAATCTGCGGCTTCCATTCAATTCTTTCCGTACTGATTCTGATTCCTCGTGTGGTTAACTTAATATATACAATGGTATCGAACATACAGGCTGAGGAGCTGGCAGCGTTGGAACCCGCCCTTGCCAAGGCCAGGTCGGAGGCGGTGGCGGCAGCGGCAGCGGCAGCGCGGGACGAGGCTGGTCGCGCGGAGGCCGAGTTTCGTGCGGGAACCATCACGGAGAGGCTCAACGCGGAGATGGAGAGGGAGCGGGCGAAGTCGAGGGGTTTGGAGGACAAGTTGCGGGTGCTAGAAGAGGTATCTATCGAACAGCCACGGGGGGGAGCCGGGGGGGGGGGGGGGGGGGCCCCTCTGTTTTGGCGGCCTTTTCGGCTGCCGGGTTC